CTAATTGTATAGGGTTTCCAAGGAGCACCTGGTGAGTTTGAACTGCCAAACTTTGGTTGAAACCAAACTTTTTGTCCAGTGTTTATCCTATAGTGCCACACCAGGACTCTCTTGCAAGATTGATGGGGGCTATTTCCTCCATATAATTCCATCTTCCTGGCTGCCTCCAGAGAGATATTTGGTCTTCAAAATATCATGCAATCATTTAAATTCAAAATCATTCACAGTTTTCCTACCTTTAGAGAGGCTGTCCCACTTCTATAAGTAGCTTAGCTTGTACTCCACTGTGTTTGTGGTTCCTAGTTCAGGAGGGGCAGGAGGTAAGTGCTCTGTAAGTATTGAAGACATTTTCCTGCCTTGTAGAATTGGGGAGGATGGTGTCTTCTCCCCATTGAGCTGTTTTCCTGAGTGCCTCAAGATATTAATATTGAGCTCTCTATAAATTTTAACTTCCCATAGTTGTTTGTGGCACTGTAGGATCAGCACTGGACTGCGAGTTACAAGGTTGGCAGTTCAAACCCACCAGCTACTCCTCAGAAACCCTATACAGGGTCATTATTAGTTGGAATCAATTCTACAGCACTTGACAATAACAAAAATAGTTATTACAGTTGGAGTCTGCCAGCTCCCTACCTATTCTACTCAGAGTGACTTCTCAACACACCTCAAGTTCATCACTGGCAGTGTTTGTGACCCAAAGCTTAGATGGGAGTAGGAAGGGCAAGAGGACTACACATAATTCATAAAGACAAAATGTTTCCCTAGCCTGTAATCTTGCTTCTCCTTCTGCCTTCATCCAGGTGCCCAAATCGTTGGAAAGGCCAACAGAGCATCAGTTTTGATCCACTGTTCTGATTATGCTCTCCTGCTTCTGTTTTATTCTAAAATTGTTCAGAGGGAACGGAAACACATTGCCATGCTGGGTTTTATTTCCTTTTTTATTAAGTAACCTAAGGAAGTTAGAAAATGCCACTGGTATCGCAGCAGGGTGAAATAATCTTAAAGGAGTATCTACATATACATTGATGTTGTTAAGCACCATCAAGTTGGCTTCAACTCCTAACGACCCTGTATAGGGTTTCTGAGGAGCAGCTGGTGGGTTTGAACTATCGACCTGGTTGTTGGAAGTTCAGTGCTGACCCTACAGCATCACACCAGGAGTTGTTAGTTGCTCTTAAGTTGGTTTCAACTCATAGCAACCCAATGCATAATAGAACAAAACACTGCCTGGTCCTCCTGAGTCATCCTCAAAATCACTGTTACTCTGAGCCTACTGCTGCTGCCACTGTGCCAGTCCATCTTGTTGGGACTTTCCCTCTTTTTCGCTGACCCTCCACTTTATTAAGCATGATGTCCTTTTCCAGGGAATGGTTCCTCATGATACTATGTCTTAAATATGAGAGATTAGGTCTGGCCATTCTGGCTTCTAAGGAGCATTCTGCCTGTATTTTTTCTAATACAGATTTGTTTCTTCTTCAGGCAGTCCATGGTACTCTTAATATTTTTCTGCAACACCATAAATCAAATGCATTAATTCTTCTATGATCTTCCTTATTCATTGTCCAACTTGCATATGAAGCTACTGAATCTAGGAAAACTGGCAGTTATCAAGAATGAAATGGAATGCATATACATCAATATCCTAGGCATTAGTAAGCTAAAATGGACTGGTATTGGCCATTTTGAATCTGAGATAATCATAAGGTCTACTGTGGCAAGAACAACAAATTAAAAAAGAATGGCATAGCATTCATCAATAAAAAATAACATTTCAAGAACTTGAAGTATAATGCGGTCTGTGATAGGATCATACACATATGCCTATTATTCAAATTAACGTACAAACTATCAAAGCCAGTGATGAAACTGAAGAATTCAACAACTTCTTCATTCTGAGATTTATCAAACATGCCATCAAGATACCAAACATGATATCCGTCTCCAGAGTCTGGTCCGTCCTGATAATGTGTCCAAAGTATAAGAGATGAAGTCTCGTCATCCTAGTTTTTAAGGCACATTCTGGCTGTACTTCTTCCAACAGATTTGTTTGCTCTTGTCGTAGCCCATGGTACTTTTAATATTCTTCTCCAACACAGTAACTTAAATGCAACAGTTCTATAGTCTTCCTTACTTATTGTCCAACTTTCACATGCATAAGAAACACTCCTTGGCTCTTATGCATGTGAAAGGTGGACAATGAAAGTTGGAACCGTATATAGTGCTGCTATGAGCTCGAACTGACTTGACCATACTTAACAGCAACACTGTCATGTGGGGTCACTACAATTCAGAGTCAACATCATGGCACACAATTATGAAATATTTAAACTGTTAAAACATCAGATAAATGAGAATGAGGCAAGTTTACATCAAGAAAGTAATGTTTATTAGGAAGAAAGTAAAATGGCAGGATTTAAACTGGAACAGCATTTGACAATTACATGAAGTGGAGACAACAGAATAATGTTAGAGGTTATTGGAGTCCAGATGTGGGACTGAAGGATAACACTCCACTGCTCGCCTTAAAGTGGGCGATTCAAACCCACTATTCACACCTTGGAAACCCTCTATGGGATCACTATGAGCCGGAATTGACTTGATGGCACTTAACAACAATAACACAGGCTATTACTATATTTGGCTGACAGAGTTGAGTTGAATATTTTGAATTTTATTGTTATTTAGTTATGTCAACTAAATATGATATAAAGATGATTTTTTTATCCTGATACAGTGATAAAATTATAGTATAGGAAAAACTGGTTATCAATTTGGAAGAAAATAATAATGTGGGCATGGTCTCAATAATCAATCTAATTTAACTCAGACAATGTTCACTTAATAATATAGTCATGACTATATTCCATCAAGAAATGTCTTTCTTTAACATTTAAAACACTTAACAAGTAAAAAACATTTATTTGAGAAAATAATTTTCCTTTTAACACTTAGGCTTTTAACATGTAAATACATTGTAAACAAATGACCCACCCACAAATTGCTGCATGCATCATTTCTGAAACACAACACTTAAGAAAAAATGCTTCTACATTTGCTGCAATGTTTTTCAGTTCTAAGTTATAGAAAAACTCGACCTAATTTTCTTTAAAACATTTCAGGAAAATTATGTTATAGATTTAACATCACAAAAATCCCCTAAACATTATACATAAATTGTTTTGTGTTATTTTTCTAATAAAAACCATATTTATGGACACTAAAATCTAAATTTCATATAATTTTCATATCATGAAATTATTTTTTTCAACTATTTAAAAATGTGAAATCATTCTTAGTTTGCAGACTAAATATGGGCAACAAGCCACATCTGGTCCTTGGGCTGTAGTTTTCCAACTAGACTTGGACTAGTTAAGACCTGCCCCTAAAGCACTTATGGGAGAAACAGACAGCCAAATTAAATCAAGGCACTAACAGCAATAAAGTGGGTATAGCTTAGGGGGAAAAAGTATAGCTTAGCACAGGAAAGATTCATTATAATGACGATAATATCTAACATAAAGCTCTTCCTATATTCCAAACACTAAGTGCTTTAAAAATATTAATCCATTTAGGCCTCAAAACATCCTAAGATATTGTTACTATAATTATTTTTATAGAAAAGGAAATTGAAGCACAAACAGGTTAAGTGGTATGCCTCAGGCAGGAATTTAAGCCTAGACAGTTTTAAAGTTGACAGTTTACCCACTATGCCACGTTGCTTATAGTAGCTACAAAAATATAGTGAAGAATATTTAGGTCTCTCGTAATAAATGCAAAAGCAGACAGCTATGCAGCCTGCTAAATCATTAAAATTATCATAATATTTCTTTACATGGTAATATTTTAATTGTGTAGAGTGCAATAAATATTGCTGTCTTTAGCAGTATACAAATGTGTTTATACAAAAGCTCAGGCTTTTGTTATAAATAAATGTATCCCTCATGGAAAACTTTGTTGACCGTGAGGCAGCTGAAAATTTTACAAAATCATTTTTGTAAATTATTTTTTGAAGGATCAATTCAGAAATTATGTCCAAATCTATTTATTTACCAGGAAAAAGGGAAAATATGAATTATAATTTTAGTATCAAACTTTAACAGGATAACAGGAGTCACTGCTGAGATTTAATATAGATAGTAATAGTTATTGACCAAGGGCTATATATATTTCCTATGTACAATTATGAATGAGTTCACATGCACATCAAACATAAAATATAATACTCACACATATATACATAAGTCCTACATACTAAAGGACTCTTCATCTGGGATATATATTGTTGCTTGATTATTCCATTTGTTTGTGCTTCAAAAAATAGTTCCATATACTCAGTTATTTGCAAGTTTCTTTTAAAAAAGAAAAACTTGGAATCAGATCTGGAACATAACTTGTAGTTACTAACTGTTCCTCTCAGTTCACATTCTACTTGAATTTTGTTAAAAAGCTTTCAAATTTAAAATATCTGTAAAGTATCATAATCTGACATTCAGTAAAATATCACTTCCTGATAAAGTCTTCTTCTATATTTGGCACAATCCTTGCACTTATCTAAACCCTTGAGTTTTAATGGATGAGTCTGACTTGCGCATAAAGATTTCTGAATACTCAGCATAATGATAGGAGTTTCTCATTCATGTGAGCTCTTGGATGTTTAGTAATGGCTGACATGATGGAACAGTTTCTGTAATTCATTTCATATGTAAGATTTCTTTCCTGTGTGGTTATCTATGTTACACAATAAGGACCGACTTCTGAAAGAAGTTTTGTCATGTCTTACAACTATAGGGCTTCTGCCATCATGTTTCCTGATATTTAGTAATGTTGGAAAGATGATAAAATTTCTCCTTTATAAATTCATAATTTTTTTGTGTGTTTGTCGAAATATTGTGGCTGAAAATATTCCTACATTGACAGTATTACTGAGGTTTATCTCTTGTGTGGATTTATCTGGGTATTCATAAGAATGAACTCAGACAGGATCAACTTCCTAATTCATACTACTTTTTCTCTATATGTGTCTTCTGATGTACTGTGAGCTTTGACCTCTGGATAAAGGTTTTCCCACACTGTTCACATTCATAGGGTTTCTCTCCTGTGTGTTTTCTCTTATGTATGGTAAAGTGTGACTTCTGAGAGAAGCATTTCTTACATTCACTACATTCATAGGGTTTCTCTCCTGTGTGAGTTCTTTGATGTAATCTGAGGACTGAATTCACAGAGAAAGATTTACCACATTCATGACATTCATAAGGCTTTTCCCCTGTGTGTTTTCTCTGATGTTTAGTGAGATCGGACTTATAGTAAAAATTTTTCCCACATTTATTACATTCAAAGGGTCGTTCTCCTGTGTGAGTTCGCTGATGTACCGTGAGGGCTGACTTTTGGTAGAAGGATTTTTTACATTCTTTACATTCATATGGTTTCTCTCCAGTGTGACTTCTCTGATGGGTTTTAAGGTGTGTGTTTCTAGAGAAGGATTTCCCACATTCTGTGCATTTATAGGGTTTCTCCCCTGTATGTGTTCTCTGATGAACTGTGAGGTGTGACTTCTGGGAAAAGGCTTTCCTGCATTCCTTACATTCATAGGGCTTCTCTCCTGTGTGTGTTTTCTGGTGTACCATGAGGTATGCCTTCACATAGAAGAACTTCCCACATTCCTTACATTCGTAAGGCTTCTCCCCTGTGTGTGTTTTCTGATGTTCTGTAAGGTGTGGCTTCTGGTAGAAGGCTTTTTCACACTGATTGCATTCATAGGGTTTATCCCCTACATGAATTCTCAGATGCCTACTCAGGGATGACAGGTGATAGAAAGTTTTATCACATTCTTTACATTCATAGGTTTTCTCTCGGGTGTGAGTTTTCTGATGTGTTGTGACATCTCCATTCCTAGAGACAGATTTCCCACATCCATTTGGTTGTTCCTTGGACTGAGAATCCTGATGTAGTCTGAGGGAAGATTTCTGACATGACTTTTCACATTCAGTACTTTCTGAGGTTTTCTCTCTAGCGTCAGTTTTCGGATTTTTTGTGAGTTTTCCATTCCTAGAGAAAAAAAATCCCCAAATTCATTATATTTATAAGACTTTTTTTTTGGCCTATTGTATGTATTCTCCAAATAACTCTAAGAATCAATTTCTGTAGATTTCTTCCATATTATAAGGTTTGTCCACTATGTAAAGTCTCTAACATGCATTGTGATTTCATATTTGGTAGCATGAGCCATAACTTGTATTATTTTCATTGGTCTCTCAATTGTCTGAACTTTGCTTTGACTTCTAAAGCCTCCTTTAATGAAGAATTCAGAAGCGTTAGAAGTTGACTTCAAAGTTTGAATCTCCTGATTCTAAAGACAGTATATATATAAAAAGGGGATTTCTCAATTGGATTTCAGTATTTGTGACTCACATCATTGTTACTTTTCTCACATTTATTATTAACTAGTACACTCCCAACCCCAGTACCTTCATTAGGACTCTTTCTTACAGAGCTTCCAATCAAAACTTAATTCTTGAACTTGCCTTAAATTGTCAGCTGGGATTTCCTGGTGCCTTGCTCCTGTACCATCAGTATTCCCTAGGCCTTTTATAAAGAAATACACATTTTAATATTGTATAAATCTTAACACTTTATCTTAGGATCAATTCTTAGGCTTCAGGCCAATTTCCTAAAATCAAGGAACTCTCCAAGTACAAATTTCCTTTATCTCATTGATTTGGAAAGAAACGTAACAGATAATGCTATAACAGACAGGGAAAGGAAGATAAACCTAAGTACCTCTGACATTTTACAAATATGACTTTCAAAACCTGGAAGATCAAGTTATTATAAAAAAGAAAGAGAGGGGCACAGAGAAAAAAAGATATTCAAAGTACTACTGAAAAATAATGAGATAATGTTGTAAGTAATTAGTAGACAAATGTGTTTAGGAGAAAAACAAGGAAAAGGTTAAATTGAATAAATAAGTTGAAGTACAGGTCCTTATCCCTGCAAACCTAGATTACTATGTTAGGATTCTTAATAATTGTTGTTGTTGCTAAGCACTATTGAATTGGCCCCGACTCATAGTGACCCTGTATAAGGTTTCCAAGGAGCGGCTGGTGAGCTTGAACTGCCAACCTTGTGGTTCAAACTGACCTTGTGGTCCAGTGCTTTATCCTACAGTACTAGATTATAAATTTCCACAAGAATCTAGACGTCAACATAAAAGTTACTTTCTCAGAATATGAAATTCCTTATATTTACAGGAATAGTCCTATAGCTTAGGCTTCTACTTTCCATTTACTTGGCTTACTATACACTGGATCAGAATGATTCAGGAACGCATTCCGCCCCCCCCCTAAAGCAGAGGGTTGAATTCACAATTGTACCATGAGAGAGTTTAAATTTGGAACTTGCTTGCATCTCCAAGCACTGCTGACCCTAACTTAACTCTAGTCTTTCATTTTGCTTTCATATCTTGGTTCCCACGTCTCTAGTTCCAATTTACTATGTGATCTTTAAAGATTACATTATTCAACACGGTTCTAAAACCTTTACTGACCCTCATGTTATTCATCTTTAAGCGCTTGAAAGAAAAGTTAAATATTATGAGCAGAGACTTGGAGTTGAAATTTCATGGCATTTGTAGGCAACATATAAAAAAGTTATTCAATAAGGACTTGTGCAATCATAACTTGGATATACATAAAAAAAGATCATACACATGGAAGACATTTACATGAGTGGATGAAATGGAAATTGGCATTTGTTTGGGGGCCACAAGAATAAACAAGTTACAGTATATAAGAGCTCTGGTAGCGTAGTAGTTACGAATCGGGCTGCTAACCTCAAGATCAGCAGTTCGAAACTACCAGCCGTTCCATGGGAGAGAGATGAGGCTTTCTGCTCCCATAAAGATTTATAGCCTTGGAAACCGTGTTCAGGGTCACTATGAGTCAGAAGTGACTCCACCGTACTTAATAACAACAAGTACACAAGAGAGGGCCAGACTCGTTCTTGAAATACAACTGGTTTAAATTTATACTGTATTTTCTTACAATGTAAATATACCATGGCAGGTTGGTAGTACTTTAAGTTTAGTGCATTAGACAACTGCTATGGGAATTAAAATTAAGAATTTATTTCTGACCTTAAGAAGGCAGTGGGGATCAATAAAACGATTCTGTAAGATGATAAAATTTGAGACTGGGATAATACATGCAGAATAAAGATGCTGGAGATGTCAATTTTACGAGTTCTCAAGTTAAGAACTAACGCTAAGTGTCATGAGAATGGATGTGCTCTTGCAGAAGTTATTCTAAAGAGTATGTTGTTGTTAAGTGTTGTTGAGCCATTTCCGACCCATAGCAACCCTGCAGAGGGTTTCCAAGGAGAAGCTGGTGAGCCTGAACCACTGACCTTTCAGTTTAAACCAACTTTGCAGGCCAGCACATTAACTCACACAGCAGAGAACATTGTCTGTCTCTTGTAAATAAAAAATTCTTTCAACAAATATTAGTAAGCAACTAGTAAATGCCAGGCATTGTTCCTGTTGCTGGAAACACATCAGTGCACAAGTTTGAAAATACATGAAAAGCATTCAAAGAAACAGGGTTCTAACACTGCAAATAAGGTACAGTAGATTTTAGAAAGGATTACTGGCATTACTTGTAAAGAGAAGACATCACCTAGAATGAAGTTATCAACTCTGAAATAATACAGTTAATGAGAAGTATAATGATTTATTATGGTATTTAAGAAATTAAAATGGCAAAAAGAAAATAAAACTAGTGCTGAATATGAGTATGAGGAATATCATTGCTCATGAAAGGGAAATGTAGAGTTGTGAAAAAAAAAAAATTATAGGCCAGATTTACAATAACTTTAAGATTACCCACTAATGGCAGGTTGTGGGTAGGTAGGAATTCTACCGAAAAAGTCTAAAATTCTAAAACAAGGTTAGGCAGGGAATGGATTTTGTATATAGGAAACAGAAGTAATTCTGTGTTTAAAATGTCAAGCAAAGGAAGGAATCTAGGTAGAGAAAATAAAAACTGAAGACATGATCTAGTTTTCCTTCATATACAGATCTAGTGTTCTCAGTCATTTCAAAAAGCAAAGGGCACTAGTTTTTTTTTTTTTTTTCCTCCAAAAGGCCATTACTACCTTACCAATAACATGGGATATAGTTTCCACTTACTCACCAGGGTATCCTTGATGTGGAAATTCTACCTCTAACATCCATGGCTCTTTACCTTGCTTCAACTTGAAGACCGCATTTGGCTTATTCACACGATAGCCTATTAAAAGAAAATATAAAATGGTACACATTACTTTTGAGTTATGGTGTTGGAGGAGAATACTGAAAGTGCCACGGGCTGCCAAAAGAACCAACAGATCTATGTTGGAAGAAGTGCAGTCAGAGTGCTCCTTGGAGGACAGGATAAGCAAATTTTGTCTCTCATACTTCGGACATATTGTCAGGAGGGACTAGTCACTGGAGAAGGATATCATGTTTGGTAAGGTAGACAGTCAGAGAAAAAGAGGAAGACCCCTGCAAGATGTATTGGCAAATTGGCAACATAAATGGGCTCAAGTGTGGCAACAATCGTGAGGTTGGCCCAGGAAAGGGTAGTGCTTCGTTCTGCTGTGCATAAGGTCTCTATGAGTCGGTACCGCCTCAATGGCACCTAACAACAACAACAACACACATTACTTGGAATTTAGAAAACTCTGAAGGATAAGAAAGCACAGTTTCAAGAGTTATAACAATGAAAAGTCTTAGATAAGTGTGGTAAATGTAGGTTTATTCAATAGGGTAGCAAGGACACATTTTTTTTTTCTGAATATGAATCCAAAATCTATTAATCAACTTTTACTCTTAAGAGTGCTAATCTTCCCATAAGCAGCCTGAGGTAATCACCCAAAATGGTTCGCTTCTCACTTGACGTAGAAAATCCCACAAAATCATGCAAATCAAGAGGTTCAAATCTCTGGGTCCATTTTAAGAACATCTGTGAAACTGCCCAGGCATCAAGGGTAAGCATATCCAAAAAGCCACCAAGTATCTGAAAGATGTTAGTTTGCAAGCAATGCTGAACTTCGGGTTTAGAGGTAAATTCTCTGGTCATTGAGCACATCCAGGTCAACAAAGCCCCCTAACTGTGACACTGAACTTAACAGAACTCAAGGTCAGATCAACCCCTACATGAGTTCCCCCTGCCACATTGAGATGATCCTCACTGAAAAGGAACAAACTAAACTGTTCCTAA